ATTAATTTATATAAATATATAGAAATTTTACACGTATACAAGTATATTATATAATTTTATGATTAAAATTATATAATAAATAAATGTTAAATATATAATCATAATCTTTTACTATCGACTTCCCTTATATTATTTAAACAATAAATATTCATTTTTTATTATTTATTTAAAATAATTTTGATATTTTCGATATATTGTTCATATCTTTTGAAGTTATCTAGTCTTTTTGTAACAAATAGTTTTATAATATCTAAAAAAACTTTTCATTACACGACACTACAGTTCTTTTGTACAAACTACTTGATTTCAACTGATTGAAATTTATCGGCACATAACTTGTGTCAACCAATCAAATCGTATCAAATCGTATCAGCTATGCATTATTCTAGTTGAAACGAATTGATTGATTGACGCAAGTCACGCCGCATGTGACGGCACTCTGAGCCATAAAAAATTGGCCAATCACAGATTACATTTACACGGTTCGATTTACGTCGAAAGTATGAATCGATGTTACGAAACTGGCCAATCATAATTATTCCTCTGAAGAATGGAATTACTGTGATTGGCCAATTTTCTAACATCGATGTTGTAACTTCGGCGCAAATCGAGCCGTGTAACGTAGTCACACAATTGAATATGAAAAAAATTGATTATGATTAGTTAATTTCTTATGACTTAGTTAATTTTTGTGATTCTATTATAGAATAGGCGCCTTAACTGGCGCCTGGCGGAAGCGCTTCGTGCGCCGCCGCCGTCCGGAAATGAACTCTGACGTAGATTAGGTATCGCAACCGAGCGTACGCTTCCATTTTCTCGAGCATCTCGGACGGATCGGTGAGCACGTGTTGTGTTTAGCCGGTCTCCGCGCTCGCACGACGTCGACTCGTTTAAGAGGAAGAATTTTACGTGTAGCAACGTATTAGTCGCAGTCACCCCTCGCTTGTGCGTGCTCGCCGCCTCGTGCACGACAGAGGTTAAAGCATGAATCCCGAGAAGCTCAAGAAGCTCCAGGCTCAAGTGCGAATCGGTGGCAAGGGTACACCCCGACGCAAGAAGAAGGTAAGCGTCGTATTATATATTTCAGTTATCTGATTTTTCATTTTTAACTTAAAAAAATTTCGCTTGTGAAAACTTCGCACTTTACTTTATCGCCCTTCGATGTGGTCCATGTCCACCGTCAACATCAATATGCATGTCGATTCTTAAATTGGAGTTACTTAATACTACGCGTGACATCGCAAGATTCTTATTATAAGGACAAAAAGAATGTGAATTTATTAGCTGCTCATTTCTTTATGTTTCACATATTTCTTATTGATGTCATGTAGATTTGTCATAAATGGAATTATTTTTATATTTCTTCCTAAAAATTGACTTTTGATCTGATTTTTATAGTAAGTATTAACTGAAGATAACTATTTTTTTATTCGTTAGAGCACTCATAATATGTGAATTGTAATTAAATTATCAAAAAAAAAGAAAAAGTAAACATTTGTGCCTTATAGAAATAATATTAAACGCAGCATTAACATTTAATTTAATATCTTGCGATAGAATTAAACATTGTTGTTTTTATACTTATGTTATTTTTTATTCTTACAGGTTGTACATGCAACTGCTGCTACAGATGACAAAAAGTTACAGAGTTGTCTAAAAAAGCTTTCTGTAAATACAATTCCTGGAATAGAGGAGGTTAACATGATTAAAGATGATGGCACAGTCATTCATTTTAATAATCCGAAAGCTCAGGCTAGTCTGTCCGCTAATACATTTGCTATCACCGGTCACGGAGAAAATAAACAAATAACTGAAATGCTACCAGGAATATTGAGCCAACTTGGCCCAGAGGGTTTAACACAACTGAAACGATTAGCAAGTACAGTCGCTGGAAGTGCGGTTGGGAAAACTACATTAGAAGAGGACGATGAGGTGCCTGACTTAGTAGAGAACTTTGATGAAGCTAGCAAAGAAGAGGTAAAGAATAATTACAATAATATCTGATGATATTCTTATTAAATAATAATTGATAAAATAATTTAAAAAATATAATTTTACAAAATTTGATGCATTTATTGAAAAGAAAATTTTTCATAAATATTATATTCATAAATATTATATATATATATATAAAATGTATATTTTGTATTGTTATATGTATTATGTTGTATTTGTATTAAACTATAATCTCATTTTATTGCAAAATTAATCTCGTTTTTTATCATTTTAAAAATTATAAATATAAAATTAAGTATGTATACGATTGTTATATAATAAAAATGACAGATTAATACATTAGCATAAACACGTTGGTTTTGCTTCATAATATTCTTAAATATATAATTAAGTACATTATTTGTATAAAAGCATATGTAATATATAAATATTGTCTGCGATATTTAAAGGTGGCTCCTAAAAAGGAACTGGATGAAAATGATAAACCTAATGGTGAGAAGAAAGATGCTGTTATTATTGAAGAAAAGAAAGAAGCCCCGTTAGCTACACCTGAAGCTTAAGAATGAATGCTAAGGTAATTATAATTGATGTATCCACACTTTTGCGGATTTACTAGTATAAAAATAATATGTATAATATATGATATTATGACATTTTTTCAGGTATTTCATACAACAAAGTTGTAACAAATAAATAACTGATGAGTCAAGAGAAATACATGGCGCAGAAATAATGAAGCATAACTATACAAATACTTGACATACGCCCCATGATATTTGCTAATACAAGTAACAGTTGACAAAAAATAAAAAAAGCTGTTACAAAAATCAAAAGGATTCCCAGAGGTTTTTTTATTATTTTGGTGCTACCAGTAAGATAGTCTTTGCTTCGAATTAGTCAACATGTTTTTATAGCTTCTAGTTAATATCGTGTGACGCTTTAATTATTTAAGACGGAAACTTGAGCATTTAACTCAATTACAGAGAATTGTAACAGAATTAATATTATGCTGCAAATTTTGTTATTAATACATTGATATGAGAGATGCAGTAGTATTTTTTCTTTCATAAGTCCAATGATTTTTATAGTTTACAGTTATATGTGAATTTTTTAAATTTCATTTTGGTCAAATAAAATATTGAATAATGCAGGTTAATAATATAAAAAATTTAGGAGAAAATATATAAAATGTCTCTCTCTCTAATTTGTAATAGTGCAAGATTTCACTTCTATCTTTACTCACGGATGATTCGATATGAATTTGAAGCTTTTAATCCAGTAAATATTCCAGTAAATATTCGCAATATTTTTTAATCTTAAATATATTAATAATTAATATTCTAGGAAATAAAATTAAAGAAATTAAAATATCTTATAAAGATTTAATATTTGGTCTTTTGAGGATTTAAAAAATTATTTTTACATTAAACATTTTCATAAAATATTTTTTTAAATGTTATATTTAAAATTCGCACATGTATTCGTCTATTACATATAGCGGGTTAATGTAATCAATTATTAACTTTGTTTAAAAATCGATATTTATGGACAATATTCATAATCAATTTTTATAAACGGCCAATATAAATGCTCCCTAAGGGGTATGTCGTATGCTGTAATCTGTAAGAATTGACTAATCACAGTCAAGTATTCTTCTCATTCGACAGTAAGGGGCTCCGCACAATAAAAGGAATAGAGAACAGAGAATAAGAATTTCAATCTATCAGAAACTGTGTATTCCACAATACATGATTTCTGATAGGTTGAAATTCTTATCTGCTCGCCGTTCCTTTTATTATGCGGAGCCCCTAAGAAGGAAATACTCGAAAGTGATTAGTCAATTTTTACAGATTACGGCATACGAATGGTGGAAAAGATAACATGATGTTGGACAGTGTCTAAATTTCTAAATCTCTGCTCTCTTCGTCTATGGACTGTTCATAAGGAGGAAGCTACGAACTATGAAACGTGCTAAACAGTTTCATAATCCGTTTTTATTTTAAAACTGTCTTAAATAATGTCTTAAGATGTTAATACTTTGGATTGATTTATGATATCTTAAGATTATACTTAAGATAATCTTAAATGCAAGAATCGAATATCATTCTTTCGCGTTGTGAAATTGGTATTGAATCTTTCCTTGCACAAGAATATATACAAAAATATATATATATATATATATTGATTAATTCTTTTTCTGTATTTTTTATTTATATCACAAATTATATTTCAAATTATATTCAGTAATTAAAAAGAATTATTTACAGTAATAAAAAGAATTATTTTTAATAATAGTTGCGCGCGCGCGCAAATACATTGTATTGCATATTACACAATCTTGCTGAAGGCGGACATTTTTACGATGCTATAATATTGCAACAATGTTGCAAATACATTACGCAATCTATTTACAATA